AAAAAAAAAAAAAAAAAAAAAAAGGAAAACATCTAAGATGCAATGGAGAGAGAGAAAAAACAAACTCTCCTCTCAAAATATAAGTACTCATTTTAACTGTACAAAGAAGTGAAATTTAGATTTATTTTCCATATATTCTGCCATCAAGATGTTAACATAAATGGGCTAGTACATTTCTACATTTATTCTCCTCAAAACCACAGAGCTCACTGCTCGCAGATCCACGGCTCAGTTAGGCCCTAACCTTTTGCCTGCATGTCTCCCCCAGGCACTGCAGCCTGTGAGACAGATGTGCTTTTCCATGTGACCCAGGAGCCAGTCCTCAGGACTATGTGTCTGCTTGTAGGAGTCTAGTGAGCATGCTAGAGGACTGGGCTGGAGCCTCTGTGCAGATGGGGCACAGGCAGGACTAATCCAGCAGTGTGTCAGGGCCTCCTTCTTGGTAGGATTTCTGCTCATTAATTACCTTGGAAGCAGTGACCATGATATTCATGGTTTTAATTACAACAAAAATAAGTGAATTTCTCTTTACCTACATTCAGGGTTAGCTTTTCATTTGCTATAGGTTAAAGAGAAGTTGATCCTATTTATTGTTTCTTTATCAAAACTTAGACAAAAGAATCATGTTATGATTTGCTTACCTCCTTTCCAGAAAGGGGACTGGAGACAGATAGCTGTGGTTTATAAAATATTTGATATGGTGTATTGTTGATTATTGTAGTCTTGTCTTCAATCTGAATAATTTGTATACCTTGCTGTACCGTGGAGGAAATGCAGAACTGACATAACTACAAGATAATTGAGAAAAAAGTAATTTTGACAATACTGTAAGGCATATTAAAATCTCTTGAGTACTCCTAAAAGGCTATTTTATCTAATTGTCTGCCAGGACAGTACCAATTTTACCGTTTTTTTTCCCCAGAATATTTAATGGTGTTCCTTTCAGTCTCAGAAATGTTCTGACTCCTGTTGGTATTCAGTCTACAACATGGTGCTTTAGCAACCCCGTTACTTTTGCTGCTGTTAGTAGTGATAGATAAAAGACTTGTTTTCCGCTTGTTTGACCAATAACATCATAAAGTGTTTATTTAGAAAGCAGGTATATGTAAATAAATGCCACTCATCTTGGCAGAATTCCACCCAGCCTCCCTCCTCCTCCTCCTCCTCCTTATGGTCTCCCAGCAGCTACCTCGCTAATGACTATGATAAACCAAGGAGAGTTCTAAAAACTTCAGTAATGACAACGAAGACAATAAGGATTGACCTTCATATATTGCAATATTGTGTTCTACTAGTTTCAAGTGCTGTATACATATTAACTCAAAAAATTCTCACAGTACCTACATGGGGGAGTTACTATTATTAACCCCATTTTACAGAAGAGGAAAGTGAGGCACAAAGAGGTTAAGTAACTTCCCCAAAGTCACAAAGATGAATAGGGTCTAACTAGGGGGTTGGAACCCATGCAGTCTGGCTCTGTGGTGCTGCTCTTAACCACTACATATATCATTTCATTACCTTACCATGTTATGCAAGGAACTGATGCTCAGAGAAGATGTTTCTTGCTTAAACATACCCATCTAGTTAATAATATCAGAACACTGGTTTTCAAAGGGTGGTCTGGGGACCCACAGGGGATCTCTGGGCATGGGGTCCCATGGTCAAAACTATTTGTATAATAATAGTAAGATGCTATTAATCTTTTACAATTGAATTCTCTCATGAACATACAGTGGAGTTTTCCAGAGGTACGTAACATATGATGTTATTACTGTGATAGCTAATGGAATATATCTTTGTATATTCTTGTGTTTTAAAAGTTTCTGTTTTAATTTCTAATCTGGTCAATATTGATATAACCCACAGAAACAAAAGGTCTTTGGGGGTAATCAATAATTTTTAAGAATATAAAGGGGTCCTGAGACTAAAAAGAGTATAAAGAGGTCCTGAGTCACTACCAAAGCATAATGAGACATCAATATGTTTTCCAACAGTACATTCATTGATTCACAAACATTTATTCAACACTTGTTGTGGCTACTTTGTTAGGTGCTAGAGGTATTGGGTGTTGACTGAATATTATAACATTTTTTCCAGGTTTTGATGGTAGTTCTCAACTTACAACTATTCAACTTTGGGTGATTCATGCTTACAGCTCTTTGCCATTTACACCCATGTTACAGTACTTTGGCTGTCAGAGTATAAACATGTGTTGCCCAGACAACTCTGAGGAAATGGATACCAGCCTTGAATGCTGAAGAAAGACCAATTTCTTTGTATCAGGGAAATTTATTTTTTTAAAAGTCACCAAATGACCTTAACTTTTCTCAAAAGACTTTTCAAAGACACCTGTCAAAAATATAACTTCTCCCCTGAAAAAAGTCATTCTGAATTCTACTACTTTGATGAAGTATCCCCTCTTTTTCTAATTTGGGACAGCTAAAATAATGATGATATTAGAAGTACAGCATAAAACTTCTGCACGGTACACTGTGATATTGTACTTTCATAAGTGATGTGATTAGTTATATTATTCAGCTAGTTGGTTTTAATAGACTTTAGATTTATGCTGAAAAGCACATACCATTTATATTTAAATAACTTACGTTTTTTGTATCTATCTCTAAAACATGGACACCAGTCCACTGTTCAAGAATATAACTTCCTCTTATAACCATGGTTCTAGGGGAGATTTAGAATTGATCCACATAATTTTGCTCAGGATGTCCTTTCCAGAAATATAACCTTTGCTGCAGGACGAGCCTTTGTCCTTTCACTCTATGCTCAGAATGTTAGTGACTCTACTTTCTGCTCTAAAGAAGGAGGCCAAGTACAATTTGTGGATATTTTGGAGTAAGTTCATTTTCTCCCCACATACTATAAATCAAGTGACTGCTGAGTATTCTGAAATAGAACAATTATTGGATAAATTATGTGACACAGCTTTTATCACTGGTAAAGAAAAAAAAGCACTGTAAAACAGAGAGGTCTAAGAAGTTAAGAAATCAAATGTTTTACTATTACAAATTGTTTAGAACAAGTAATATGAAAAAGGTATTAAAAAGAAAAAGGCAGATTCATTTTAAACAGGTTAAGGGGATGGCATGCTATTTTCTCCCAGCCACACAGACTTTGATCTTACCTTCTGATGTCCTGGAAAAGCACCAAGTCTTACTTCAGTATCAACAAATGCTTCTTCATCCAATGTCACAACTTCGCCATTACCTCCATCTTTCCACTTTGGAGATGTCAGGTTATGGACCAGTTTAATTGCTACTGACTTGTGCACAGTGTTTGTATTTGCCCAGTATATTCCAATTTGAAAAGCTTCCTGGAAAAATAATGCCTCGATTATAAAGTAATTTTCTTAACTTTGATATTTTTTACTTCAATCCTCAGGCTGTTTTAAAAATATTATATAATAGGTCTACTAAGGCAACCAAATATCCCTCCATGGTTTTTGTGTGTGTGTGTGTGTGTGTGTGTGTGTGTGTTTGTAATGGCAACGTACATTTTATTTTGGCTCCCAATGTATTTTTATTTTTGTACTCACAATGGAATTCGTATTTACGGGAGGGAGGGGAAAACCAAACCCAAACAGTGACTACCCTGTAAATACCAAAGGCTTTAAAAACTGAAGGTTTCATCTCATTTGACAAGAGAATAATATCTAACATTAGGTCCACATAGGTCAACATTCCAATTCCATAAGGTAACATCATCTGATTTTACAAAAAAAGAAAAAATGCAATTGAATAAAGATGTTTATGACCTGGAGCTCAAAAAAGGATTCTGAAATTGTTCTCTATCAGAAAGACATTGTATTTAGGAGTTCCTTTTACTCTATTTTTTTTTTTTTTTAATAGATTTGTGTGTCTTCTTCAAACAGACTAGCCTTATGAAGAAGGTTTTGTGACAGCATATAAAATCTTCCTGTGATATTTTGGTTCGCAATTAGGTTTCTCTCTGTGTCAGTAATCATTCCATGTTGTTATAATCAACAACTGGGTAGACAGCCATAATTATGAACATCCAAGTCCACTTATAAAGGAAAAGGGGTCCTGACAAAAACAGTTGCTCTGAAATCCTCAGTATCTTGCAGACTGCAGAGAATTTCCTGAAGAACAGCAAAGAATACCTAGGGTATGGATAAGCACACATGATGGCTATATTTCCTTAATATATACTGATAGACCAGCCCGAATACTTGTCAAATATCCTATGCCAATGGAATGAGAATGTAACTAATCCAAGTTATCAAATTTAATGGTAACTCAAGCACCAATAGTGTTGATGGTTTTTAAAAAAAAAAAAAGACATCAGAAAAGTCCTTGAATATTCAAAGACCATTCCATACCTCTTACATATGCATCTAAGAAGAATTTTTCACAACTGATTCATTCTGTGAAGATCATAAACACAACTTTACAATAAAATCTACTTGTTGAGAGATAAGAATTCATATTAATTAAAAAAGTTTAGTACCTGAAAATTAGGAGGAATAATAATTTTGCCAGCAGGAACCTGTAGAACAATGTTCTCTCCTTCAAATAGCCAGAGGTCCCACTTGGACTCATTGATAAGCAGGGCCCAGGGCAGAAGTTCTATCAACAAAGTTCTAACATATGGCTTCCAGATTGACAGCTTCACGCGCATTGGGCTATCCCACTGACTTAGCTGTTCATTCCTGTTCCAAACACCACATCCAAGAGACTCAATGAAATATGATAACTTTAATATTTGTGAAATATGTTTAAAGATTCCAAACACACCATGTTCCTGCATGATACCTCCTCATACCAGAATCTTTCAATGCTAAATTTGCATGCAGGAGAAAGCAACTTTTCATGCAATTATGATCTAGATCATGAATAAAGAAATCTACAAAATACACCTACTAGATGATAAAAGGTAAGAATCTGACACATACATGCACACACCACTTATGGTATTTAATATTTTTGTGAATGATCATTTGTTAATATTGAGAAATTTTTGTAGAAAAAGATCACTGAAGAATGTTACCTGTCAGAATCCTTCTTATTATAGGGCCATATGGGTTGAAGTGACTTTTCTGGCCCATAGAATTCGTCAAGGATCTGATTAACTGTGCCTCTAGGGTGTACCTTAGTGGCTATTTGCTTAATGAGGGATGTTGAGATGGGAACTGCACAATCTGAAGGATCATATTCTTCTCTAGGAAATTGAAAGAAAAACCAAGAATAAATATCAGATTTCTAAAGTGGTCTACAATTTATTGAAAAATATCTAACTACACATGTATTACAGACCAACACCTTTTTGGTAGATAGAGTCCATTTATGGGACAGTGTGTGGATGATCTGGGCCCTGGCTTTTCCTCTTTCTTCCCCCACCCCTCAATTCCTGGGTGTTGATCTCTATTCACATCTTCTTTCACTACAGAAGTCATGTGTCAATGAAATCGAAATTAAAATTTCTGATGATTCCTCTTGATTATATCTATGCTTAATGAGAAAGGCTGATTTTTATCTAAAACTACAGATGAGAATAAGAGGTCACTAGGCAGGGCAATTTTAAAATAACATTCTCATAAGATAAGAAATCATACAAAAAACTCCCTCCACCCCATCTTCCCACCCACCTCCTACCCTCCCCAGTGCAAGGTTACTTTTCTACTTAATTTCTCTTAGGAAAATGTAGGGAAGGATTTTTCTAGTACCTTGCTTGGAATGTCAGGTGATGCACAAGGTCAGGTTCTATGTTTTGCAGTGGTTTTTCCTGCCCTTTTCCTGGAATAATTTGTGTTTCACTCAATCCCAGACTCCTTTTCTCCAAATGTATGATAATGGGGTCTGGAAGATGACTCTTCATGATAAAAAGAGGGCTGAACACAATCTATAAAAATAAAAGGACAGAACAACTTTCATATTTGCTTTGTTGCAGTATTCCAGCTGTTTGATGCTGAAACAAACTTGCAATAAATCTCTTCCCTAGGTCACTCTGACCTTAATTTATTTCAGAACAGGAAAGGTCAGAGTCATATACCATATTTTAGGATTGGGAAAGCACTCACCATTCGTTGTTGCACTTGAGAGTTGGGTTCTAAAGTCAAAACTGTGCACCAGACATAAATAATGGAACTGTTTGAAGATGGCACCTGCACATGAAATAGAAACGGGTCCTATTGAGTACTAAGCAGTTTACTAATTAATCAAAATAAGGCACAGATATATCAGTTTGGAAGATTAAAAAGAGTTTAAAGTTATAGAGAAAAAGCCATTATTTAAAAAAAACTAAGCAAAAACAGACTTCATTATGGCATAAAGCAAATGTGCAGTGAGTCGACGGGGCCAACTCTTTCCATAAAGACAAAGAGATTGCATAAGGAGAGATATAAGACTGACTGGCAAAATGAAAGAGAATTTATCCTTTATGGGAATGAAAGTGATGATGGTAAAGACTGAGGAAGAGATAAAGTAACAGACTATCACAAAAATCCTTAAGTGAGGAGGATACCACCCCTAGTCCCACCCCACCCCTAACCCTGGGGCAGCAGGATCTTTTTCAAGATATCACTTGCATCTGGGAGGGACAGAGTCTTGGCTGTAAGAACTACTGGAACTGATACAAATGTATTGTCGTGGGATGGGGAGTAAACAGTTTGAGAAGTACTATTCAAAGCCTTTCTCCCCCCTTTTTTATATATCACTTTTTAATAAATTAAGTGCTATACAAGTAAAGAACATTTTGAGAAAATTTCAATGTTAAAGCTGCTCTACTCTAGATTGAAGTTCTTTTCAAACCTGAATGACAATGCTGTATTCAGGGGCTTTGGATTCCAGGCGCACATCTCTTGACCAGTCTTCATCTCCTTTGGCCTTCACACACAGCTCTGTCAGTTCATTGTTTTCTAGTATATATGAAGGCAGTTTCTGTTTGGCTGTGAGGCAGTCAAAATGTTCCCGAACTACAGCTTGTCCATCTTGACCAATGTAATGCTGAACGACTTTTAGTTCTATGCTTTGAGACAAGTAACTACAGATGATCTGTCTTCCACAGATGATAATCTAAAAGACAGTAAGTACATAAGTCTTCATCAATTCAGACTTCATTAACTGGAAATATGTTATCGATCAAACAAAATAAACTATGTTGATGTTAATGGAAAGAAAATGAAGTAATTAGCTTAAACAGTACAAGAAGGAAAAAAGACTTGAAGTCAAGAAGAAATTTTGCTTTGGCCATGTTGAGTTTGCTATTTAAAGGACAGACTCCTCCATGGAGTCCAGTACTCAATTGAAATGCTGGTCAGGTGCTAGCCAGAGACAATGTGGCGGTGGAGATAATGATTTGTGAAAGGGAAACCTTGCAAACATGCATGAACAGAAGATAGTTTACCTGAAAGAGAGGGTAGAAGCTCAAACCCAGAAACTGACCAATACTCCAGGGGCAGACTCAGGGTGAGGAGCTAGAAAATGGGGCCAGAGAAGAAGGGGTGAAGGAGAATAGAGGTGAATCGGGGACAGTAGTTTTGCTGAAGCCATAAGAGAAGTGCCTGCCCAGGAGGTGGCAGTGAATCTTGTCAAGTGATGTACAAATGGAAAAGACTGGGAATAGAAAATCATTTAGCTCTGGTAATTGAGAGGGCAACTGTGATCAATCCATTCCTTGAAGTTGATTTTCAAGGGTTTATTGCACTCTTATCTAGTAAGAAATCTCTGTATAAACAGATAATACAAATAATCTTTAATGCCAATATCTAATTTTTAAAATTTTTTTTCAGTTTATTTCGTTTTTTTAGACAGGATCTTGCTCTTTCACCCAGGCTGGAGTGCAGTGGCATGATCACAGCTTACTGCCATCTCAACCTACCAGGCTCAAACAATCCTCCCAACTCAGCCTCCAGAGTAGCTGGGTCTACAGGGAATGCACCACCCCATCTGGCTAACATTTCTGTTTTTTTGTAGGATGGGGTTTCACAGTGTTGCCTAGGCTGGTCTCAAACTCCTGAGCTCAAGTAATCTTCACACCCCAGCCTTCCAAAATGCTGGGATTACAAGCATGAGCTACTGTGCCCAGCCTAAACTGTGTAAGTTTTATCTTTATAAACACACAGAATTATCCACTAAACCTATGGGTTATTCAACTTTACACCCAGGTAAGAGTATAGTTCATAGTAGGTATTAAGAAATGGGGGCCTTGGCCAGGTGTGGTGGCTCACACCTGTAATCCCAGCACTTTGGAAGGTCAAGGCAGGTGGACCACCTGAGGTCGAGAGTTCGAGACCAGCCTGACCAACATGGAGAAACCCTGTCTCTACTAAAAATACAAAATTAGCTGGGCGTGGTGGCACATGCCTGTAATCCCAGCTACTCGGGAGGCTGAGGCAGGATAATTGCTTGAACCTGGGAGGCAGAGGTTGTGGTGAGCCGAGATCACGCATTGCACTCCAGCCTGGGCAACAAGAGTGAAACTCCGTCTCAAAAACAAACAGCAAACAAACAAACAAATGGGGGCCTGGTATGATGGCTTATGCCTGTTATCCCAGTCGTTTGTGAAGCCAAGGTTAGGAGTTCGAGACCAGCCTGGGAAACGTGGCAAGATCCCATCTAAACAAAAAATTTAAAAATCAGCAAGGTATGGTGGTGTATGCCTGTAGTCACAGCTACTTGGAAGGCTGAGGCAGGAATACCACTTGAACCCAGGAGTTCAAGGCTGCAGTGAATTATAACTGTACCACTGTACTCCATCCTGGGTGACAGAGCAAGACCCTGTCTCTACAAAAAACAACAAATGTTTTCTTAAATTGGTTGAAATTGAAAAGATAATGCAAAATTTAATATGGTGGTGAATTTTTTTTCAGAAAGCAAATCCTTCTGTAATATGAATATTCACCATGACTGGAGAAAATAGGACTTTCATATACTGAATTTCCTATTTGTAATATTTTTCCAGATTATAATCTCACACACACACACACACACACACACACACATACACACACACACACACAGAGTATATGTATAAGTCTAAGCATATGATGTTTAATTTTAGTATGTCAACTTGACTGGGTCATGGTATGAGCAGACATTTAGTCAAATATTCTAGGTGTGTGTGTGAGGGTGTTTCTGAGTGAGATGAACATTTGAATTGGTAGACTGAGTAAAGCAGATCATCTTCCCCAACATGGGTGGGCATCATCTAACCAAATGAAGACCTAATTGAAGGAAAAGGCTAAGAGGAAATTCATTTTGCCTGACTGCTTGAGCTAAGGCACTGGTCTTTTCTGGCCTTTAGACTTTGAATGAAGTGTCAGCTCTTCTTGGGTCTTGTACCTGCCAGACTTTGGACTGGAACTTACACTGTTGGCTCACCTGGTTCTCTGGCCTTTGCACTCAGATGGGAGCTACACATTGGCTCTCCTGGGTCTGCAGCTTGCTGACTGCAGATCTTGGGACTTCTCTAAGATTATGTCACATGTTTCATAATCACGAGTCAATTTATAATAAATCATTCTTTTTCCACACACCCATGCACGTACATGTGTGCGTGCATAGGTATGCACACATACACCCCCTCATTAGTGCTGTTTTTCTGGAGAACACATTCTCAGAGCAGCCTTACAAACTAGGTGCTACTATGACTCCCCATCTTAACAGACAGAAAATTTAACAGAGATATTTAATAACTTGCTTGGTGTTACCCAGTAAGTCTGGCCTAGAGTTTGTTGATCGTCACCCTGATAGTCTGTCTGTCATAAAATTAATATCTCCTCATTAAGAAAAGTTAGAAACCATAAAAAAGAAAATAAGGGCTGCTCTTTATAACAGTTATGTTATAAAGACACCATTTCTTCCCTTCCCAATAGCTGTTCTATCCTTTCCTCTTATTGTGAAAAACCCTCACTTGATTTGATTTGGTTAGTTAGCAAAAGGCAGCAAAGTACTCAGGGAAGGTAGACACCTCCCTTGGTCCCCAGTGGCTGTATCATGATTGGTACAAGCCAATCCTGTTAATTCCATTCTCCTTTTGCCATTGATTAGGGTAAATATGGAACTCTGGATTGGCCAATAATATGAGAAGGGAAGACTGGTAAAAGGCTCTAGGAAAGATATTACTCCTTGATAATAAGGGAGACAGGTTGAGAAGGGAAGCCCTTCTTTTCTGTCACAGAAGCTGTTATCAGAGGATGTATACAGCTTTTACTGCCATCTGAGACCAGGCAGGCAAATCTAAGAGGATGACAGAGAAGCAAATACAACACTGGGTTGCTTAGTTAGCCAATACTGAACCAGCCTTCTTCCTCCTTGTTATGTGAAACAGTAAACATAAAATAGAATAGTATCTGCCTCATTAACTTGCTATGAAGATTAACAAGCATATTTTGTAACTTCAAACTGAAAGCATCCTAACTGATACATTTTCCTATGTCATTAAGACTTCTCTGTAACCATCAATTTTAATGAACTATTATTTACAAAAATAAATATGAATAACTATTTATAAATGAACTATTTAACTATTTCTAGGTGGGGGTCTCGCTCTGTCACCCAGGGTGGAATGCAGTGGCAAGATTTCAGCTCACTGCAGCCTTGAACTCCTGGACTCAAGGGATCTTCTTGCCTCAGCCTCCTAAGTAGGTTGGACTACAGGCACATGCCACCATGCCTGGCTAATTTATTTTATTTTTTGCAGAGATAGGGTCTTGCTAGGTTGACCAGGCTGGTCTCGAACCCCTGGGCTCAAGTGATTCTCCTGCCTCAGCCTCCCAAAGTGCTGGGATCACAGGCATGAGCCACTACACTGGGATGAACTGTTATTTAATCAAAAGAAACCTGCTAGATTGAGGAACCAAAAATTAAATGTCATTGTTGTTTTAATTTGCATTATTTGAATGGTGAGGTTTAGCTTTTTCTCAAACATTTATTTCTCAACTATCTGCTTATTTGAATTTTCTTTAGAAGGAGCACATCTGTAAAACCAAGCTGTGCTTAACTGTTATATTTCCCTTAGATACTCTAGTCATTATAATCTTTTAAAACTAGGCTTTCACAATAACAAACCATAAAAGTCAACTGAACTATGATCCTAAATTAGGAAGCAAACTTTTCTTTAGCATATGCTAGGGGTTACTAGACACTCATGGTAAGTCTTATGATGCCATAGCATTGCCTAACTTGAAAAACATTTGAAAACTCTGAAGCAGTATTTAACTCTGTTATTCTTGATGTGTCCAAGCCTGGCAATATATGCACATGGCTCTTGCTTCAGAACCTTTGGACCCCTGGAGATTTAGAAGAGAATTTTGCTGTCTCTCATAGAAACCACAGAATCTCCACAACCATCTGGGACTCACTTGGTTTATCCAAGACAAAGATCCTCTTGGTGGGTTTTTATAGTCTCATTTTCAACTAAAAAGCCTGTTAAATAGGCTTTCAAATTTGATAAAAAGAAAATTCTTAAAAGTGGCCAGGGAGGGAAGGCTACTTTAGATGAAGGAAAATCCAAAAATGGTCACTCAGTGGAGTAGTGTGCTTTCACGGCTGTTCCAGGGTTAGGTTCAGGAGAGCTATATCTGCTTTTCTTCAAAGTGGCAAACTTACAATGCCTTTATTTTGAAAATTATGGTTAGAATTTCAAGATTAATTTATCAGTTGAAGACAGCTACTTAATTTTTTTAAATGCACATTTTCTCTTTAATACACATTTCCAGGTTTCACACTAATTTCCCTCCTTCCTCAAAGCCACAAAGATGTGTATTGAAGATTTCCACATATGATTTTACTTAGCAGGTTTCAGTACTCTTATTAGATCAGTGCCAAGAAGAACAGTGATATTAAAGAATAACTCCAGAGCACCAGATGCACTGGAAAATGATATCTTAACCATGATTAAAAGTATGTGTATAAAGACACCATTATACATACATACATATGTACATTTGAGATTTTAGAGTAGTAAAGGTTTCTTCAACAAAAGGATGGGAAACATGGAAGCAAATATGTGTACATGAGTGGTTGTAGAACATACAAAGTTCCCACAAAATTTTCTGTGGTCAATTTTCATTCAATTGGGGAAAATGAGAGGGGTATAAGAAAATGCAGAGCACAGATAACCCAGCATCAATGTTAAAAAAGAGCTTTAGCCAATTCTCCATTATCCAGGGGGCGTAAAGGTCCATCAGGGATCTGCACACACTCACTTCCCCAAATGGGCCCTGGTAATTAGGCAGCTGCAGTTTATTGCAAATTTTCAGGCCCAGGTGGGGGTAGAAGGAAAGAAGCCAAGATGTGAGGGAGGCAAGAATCCACAAAGCTCTTCTGAAGCTTGGTTCCCTTCTTCCTTCCTAACCTTGCCAATTGAGGAAATCCTATGTCTCTGATGTACTTTAACTAGAGCAAATCTGAACGCTAAACTCCCCTGACAGCAAAAATTAAATCCAATTGAAAAAGACATTTAACATTTTTGCTTGTGGGTGTGTGTATCTGAGTAAGGGGGCAGGGGAGAGGTAAAACTGTCAGACATTTTTAGAAATGTATTTTTCAAATAACCAACTTTTATGACATTTGGTAGGTATACTGTTGCAACGTGTAATATTTTGTGCAGGAACACTGTATATATTAATTTATCCCTTGAAAATATATAGTATCTATACAAGAATGAGTCACTACTGTTGTAACACAAAGATGTCTAACTAGTGTTACTCATGCCCGATAACATTTCATTAGAATAATTTTAAGTATGGTACACTGGGCTGTGGCAGGAGGGCAGGCATGTTGTAAGCATTTTACATACACAAACTCAGTTAATCCTCACACTAACTTCCTGAGGAAGGCACTATTACTATCCCCATTTTACAGATGAGGAAATTGATTCACAAAGAGTTTAAATGACTTGCTGAAGATCACACAGCTAGCAAGCGGATACAGCCAAGTTGCCTATGATCTTGACTACAAGGACATACCATTAAAACCATTTCTCTATGGAGGGACCCTGCCATTTCAGTAATTGATAAACGTTCTAGCAGCCACACTAAAAAGAGCTGAACCACCTGGGAAAGTTTAGACTGGAGCTATGGTAGTCAAATTGTGGTCCCTGGACCAGCAGCATCAGCAGCACCTGGGAACTTGTTAGAAATGCAAATTACAGGCCACACCCAATCTGAAACTCTGGGGTTGGGAGCCAGCAATCTGTGTTTTAACAAGCCCTCCAGGGGATTCGGATACACTCTCAAATTTGAGAAGGCCTAGAGAGAAGAAAACCAAGGGGAAACACGATAGCTTCCCTTATGTTTTTGAAGGGCTATAATGTAGAGGAGAGGTGACTTGTGGAGTCCTCACAACAAGTTTTGTGCTTGTTGTATATGCCTCATAGTTCTAGGGAAAGGTGGTGGAAAGGTGAAAGATTTTTGGTTCAAAATTAGGAAGAAAACTTAGCTGGTGGTAGCCAACAGAAAGGGCTGCTGTGTGAGAGAATGAGCCTCTTGTCATCTGAACTATTCAAAGAGGCTGGATGACCTTTTCTCAGACATACTACTGAATGGGAAGGTGGATAAGACATTCTTGAAAGACCATGAGTGACAGAATCAGAAAACTAGTACATACTTACTGGGCAGATATTCATTGAGAGCAAATTCATGTAAGAGTGTTCTGAGCGCAGATGGGAGTTAGTGACACTTCTTGTTCTCTTTGGCTCAGTGCTCACACTAGTAGGCTGGTCCCCGCAGGAATCCTTCAGTAAGACTCATTTGTCCCATATTTGTCTCCGTTTATGCTATACTGTCTACTTGGAATGCTCTCTCTTAATCCAAATTCTACATATTTTCCAAAGCCCAGCTCAAGTCATATCTTCTCAGTGAAACCTCTAAATTCCCTTTACACTTACTGTCAGTTGTATACATTGTTGGGCTTACATAAAATTGCAATTTAAAAGCAAAGATTGTTTTACATACTTGGTGTTTTCCATTTTACTTTGTTCCACTTTAGGCAATCAATAAATATTCTGAGGAATGCTCAGTTAATTGGGGAGTCTTCCATGCTTCTTTTCTGAGACTCCTCTGCTAGAGTTGAGTTCTCTTTTTATTTCTGTGGCCCACAATAATAAGATCATCAAGTCCAGCGCCTTGATTAGGTGCAGACCAAGAATGCATATGGTGTGGGTCCTACTGTTCATCTCGCTAGTAGCTTCCTGCTTCCTCCTTGGCATGCAGCAACAGAATAGCCCCTGCTGCTCCATAGGGGAAGCTCCCCTTTTCCAGGGACTAAGTGCTGTTTCTATCATGTCCCACAAAAGCTCTGGATAGACTGTTACAATCCAGATGTAAATGTATATGTTGAAATTCTAACGACAAATCCAGTTATTATGTGTGCAGTGAAGCCAGTTTTCAGATTTTAATACTTCCTTTTTTTCTTTCTACTCGTCATATGCTCCATGCTTGAAAAACATCTTTTAGAAACCACATTTTCACATCTCAAGAACACAAAGAAAGTGTCAGATACTTTTTTCCCTTTGCAGTCTTAGAACTTCAAAAACAGCCAAAAGGAAGTTTTATAAAATACGTAAAAATATGTGCTGAGAGCTGAGGTTTTATATGCCAAGAGTTAGGCTGCAGTGAATTTTTACTGCAGTTAATATTAACTCCTAGGAAAAGAAAAGCTTGCTGGAGACCCAGGCCCACTCTGTCATGGGAGAGTATCACAGCACTTCCTTACAGATCATTCTCACGTGTGAGAACCAACTCTTGGTTATCCGCTGGTGGATTATCCAGGGTTCCCACTACTCTTTGCTGCTTTTCCTTCTCAATAAAGGACTTTTGGCTATTTCACAGCTCATTAGCACCTCCACCAGAAGGTAGGTGGTGACAGGGAGAAGAGGTGAAACTAAAATCAGTAAATTTTACTGCTCGTTAGCAGCTCTTGTAAAAGAAGTGGGACAAAGGGTTTGAAGCCATCATCATTGTCAGGATCATAGATAAGCATTTATTAAATGCTCACATGCATGCTAGTAGCAGATATAACTAGGTATAACCACTGTGATTTTTAGAAAATTACTAATTATTTTCATTTAAGTTTCCTCTTCATTACACTGAATAATGAAGAGGTGTCTGGGTCAGGAACACAAAGAAACTTACCTGTTTTTGTACTCCATTGAGTCGCTGAACCTTGATGATGAGAGAAGCAGTTCGACCCCTGTACTGAATTGTTCTAATAAAAGTCCCGGCATGGTCCACACTGAAAGGCTCTGACCAACGCCAGTTGCCCCAACCTTCAATACAGATGTGTAACAGCTGGAGAGAAAAACAATAATCGTCATATTGCCAAACGTGCCAACAAAAACCTAGTCCTAAAATGAAAGTCTCATTGCTGGAAAACCTTTCCATTTGTAATATTTCGCATCTGTTTTCTTTCTAACCTGCATTATTCATCCACTTCCAACTTATTCCACCAGGCTAAGAATAGCAAATATGCCACATAGAGTCAATGTGGTTTTTCAGATCACATTTTAAACCTTCTTAAAAATAATTGTCCTATCAAATGGTAAAAGGCCTGCTGAACATTTGAGAAAAGATCATTTCATTCATCTGGAGGACAAAAAGGTTGAAGTGTGAGATCAAAGAACCTTGGTATTTGCTGATAGTTTATTCCTTCTTATGGCTAGACAGTAATTAAAGTTAAAAAAATTTTTTTTAACCATAAATTGCCATATCTTACATTTTTCTTTTGATGAAGAACAAAATAGCAGTTTGAAGATGCAATTCATTTAATATACTCTCCTTATGAGATCAGATATATCAAATTAGAAATACCTTCAACATTTTAAATGTAAGATATGATGCATTTGTTCTATTTTTTTTGTTATGTACTTACTCTAACGTTTACCAATTGAGTCTCCTGACACATATTTATATTTATTCATGTAGCATTGCCATGTCTGGTCATATTTGGATTGATTTGGGGGTCAGATATGTCCTATTTCTACTTTTACCCACTAACTGCAGCTGAGAAGATCAGTTTAACTACATGAGTATTTCAAAATATATATACAATAATTAGTACTTTTTTAGGAAACAGGTTTAAATGAAAACAATGTTCTATGATTTGTAAGTACAAGGAAAGAAATCTGACTTTTTTTTTTTTTTGAGTCTCGCTCTGTCACCAGGCTGGAGTGCAGTGACGTGATCTCGGTTCACTGCAACCTCCACCTCCCAGGTTCAAGCAATTCTCCTGCCTCAGCCTCCCGAGTAGCTGGGACTACAGGCGTGCCACCACACCCGGCTAATTTTTGTATTTTTAGTAGAGGTGGGGTTTCACCATGTTGGCCAGGCTGGTCTTGATCTCTTGACCTCATGATCTGCCTGCCTCAGCCTCTCAAAGTGCTGGGATTACAGGCGTGAGCCACTGCACCTGGCCGAAAACTGATATTTTAAGAAAATGTATTTATATCATATGCAAACAATTTAAAGTTTTCTTTCACATCACATATAATTTTTTAACAGAGCTAACCAAAGGTAAATCTCATGAAAAACTCCCAATTAGTAGACAGAATAAAACTTTGAAAACATCCTGTAACACTATCATAAAAGGCCCTAATAATAAATACATTAAGGATTTACATGGAAATTGCCATAATATTAAATGTCTTGGTGGAAGCAGGTTATTTTTTAGTTTCAGCCTTAGGAGGAGTCCTGATAACATGCTTAAATTTAAAAAATTCCCAAGGTCATCACAGCATACGTTTTCGATGTTAAGATAGGGCTTTTTAAAAAAAAATCTGAATACATTATTTTAAAAAATCTCCTAACTCATCTCCCTGCTGTTAATACGGCCTCACTCCAGTTCTTCCTCCACACACAGCCAGTGATCTTGTGATAGGAAAAGGCTATCAGTTAGGTGACTTCTAAAAAAGGCTAACAGCTAAGAAAACACACGTGTGTGTGTACACACACACACACACACACACACACACACCCTGGATAGCAAATACCTTTAGGGAAAATATGGTCTTATATACACTCTACAACATAAAAGTACCAGAATATCTTTGATGTTTAAATATTAGTAACAGAGAAAAAAAGAAAAATAGCAGTGTTTGGAACCACTTCAGTTTTTTATAGCAGCAACTGGGAATCAAGCTCAGGGTACACACAAAACTAAAAGAAATAAAGTTGTTTTCTTTGGACAGACTAGTAGCTGGAAATGACAAAAAAAAAATAATGAGGCAAGGTACTTAAGATCAAGCTCAGCTATATTTTTCCTGAACATTTCATAGACTCTAGAGAAAGTTTTAATGTACACAATGTAATTTTAAGTGAGGAATGTTCACATTTGCATATGAGCTCAGCTTTAGATAGCTGCTCACTCTGTGTACACAGCTTTTAAGGACTGGATACCACCAAGGAATATGCTGTCAGGTTTTGCTTGGCAGCTATTTGTTCTCAGAATGTTGGCACAGATATTTTCTTTGAATTATGAAAATTCAGATATGTTTGGATTTAGTTCACACAGGAAAATTAAGTGGGAGAAAAACATTTGTAACACTTCTTCCCACATGCATCATCAATGGAACATTTGTAATGTTTGGTCTACTGTTAAAAAACATCTAAATATCTCTGGCAATTAGATGCATATAATTCACTAGGAAAGGAACTACATTCTTAAGAGAGAAACCAACAAAAAGAAATTCAGGAGGCCTAGCAGTACTTCAGTTCTCCTTCCCATTGTGTAATCACCCCTGCCTGGGAACCCGCGGCACTGGATTTGAGCACTGGATGGCAGTGAGTGCTCAGATACCCACAGATGCCTGGCTAAGGTGAGAGGTTTTGTTCTTGCTGGACCCACTGACTAAATTTCACTGCTACAGGTACTGTAAGTCTCCATTTAGTAACGAAGACTTGCATACCTATTTTATTTCTCTACAGAAGGAAGCATAATATCAGGCACAAAAAAATGTGCCATCTGTGTTAGACCACCTGATTCAAATGAGATTTCGATCATCATCCAATACATTTTCATTACTCAAGTACTATAAGGAAGGTAATATGCTAGGCACTATGGAGGAAATATGGAGGAAGAGATGTGTTCTTTGCCCCACAAGGAGATTATGATCATATAGGGAAAAAAAGGCAAGAACAAAAAACTAACATGAGGCAGTCAGGAAAGGAGAGGAGCAGTCACATAGTAGTCCAGATAAGGAAGGGTCTGGATCAGGTTGCTGTGATTAAGAAAACATTGGGAAGCAGCTGGATCTCAGAGTTTGGGTAGGATTGCAACTGGCAAAGATGACAGTTCCTTCCCACGCCAAAAAGACAGTGTGAGATGTGCAAAGACCACACATGATCCGGACAAGGTTAACCATCTTAACTGGCCACAGAAAAGGGAACATGGATAAAGGGGTGGGAGATAAGGTTAAATACATAGATTTACATTGTGGCTGGCACTGATTTACTAAACTAAGGAATTTGCACATTATGCAGGAATTAGTGGATAGTCACTGATACCTTCCCTATAAGTGAGCAACGTGATGACAAAGAATGAGAGCACATGGAGAGGCAGGAAGACTGCAGGAGTTGGATGAGGGGCAATGTGGGCTAGAAATACAGGGGAGAGAAAGGCAATGGGCTTCACAGAAAATAACTATCCCTTCTGCCTGAAGCCCAAGACATTTTTTTTTTAATACTTCATATTCTAGGGTACATGTGCACAATGTGCAGTTTTGTTACATATGTATACATGTGCCATGTTGGTGTGCTGCACCCATTAACTCATCATTTACATTATGTATATCTACTAATGATATCCCACCCCTCTCCACTCATCAATTTGGAAATTTTCTTTCACCTCTTTTCTATTAAGATTTTCCTTCCTTACTTCCCCTGCTATCATTCAATCTGTCCTGGATTTTCAGTCTCTCTGGTCTACTTAGATAGTGTCTAATATTTTCCACTGCGGGGGAAAAAGTCAAACAGGAAGTATTCTTGTTGGAAGTTTTCGATGACAACTAAAACTAAGCAATAAGGCAGGTTGTACAGTCGCCACACTCGATGGAAGGTCCCAAGAGGGTACATTTTCTTTTGTTCCAGCAGACCCTGGCGCTGGCAGCCAGACTAAATTCATAGTTTTCCCATTGAAGACCTCAGATGGAAGCATATACAGTTTTCAACTCATTTTTTTTTTCTATACAAAATAGAACTTAAAACAGAATTACTGATCAGGGAATTAGGGATCAGCTCTGAGGACCACCCACAGTTTTGTCCAAAGGAGAATTCCTGAATTGATATATTTAGGAGGAAAGAAGAATAAGATAAAATCCCGGAAAACAGTACACCAAGAAGAGAAAGAAAAAGTGGATGGTTAAATAAAAAATGTTAACCTGCACCTTAAAACATAAATGATAAAGGTATCAAATACTTTTTTGTGAAGTTACATATTTCACTATTCATTTTAAAACTATTGTCAAGATTTTTTCTACTTCAGTATCACAAATTAAAATTTTATCTTCACACTCATTTGTGTATTTTTTTTGCATTTTATAGTAATTTACCCTACGGTAATATGTAATGTTCTAAAAAGACACTGGAGATTTAAACAACTTCAAAAAAATTCCTAATCCATTGTATTCATTGTAGAAATTTTAAGAGTTCTTAAAAATGAACATGCAATCCAAGTGATATAAACTACTGTGTATATATATATATATATATATTCTGGTAATATATTTTTATATATTATTTATATATAAAAACTTAGGCACCATTTTATTTTAGAGACAGAGTCACTCTGTTGCCCAGACTAGAGTGCAGTGGTGTGATCATAGCTCATTGCAACCTTGAACTCCTGACCCCTCAAGTGATCTTCCTGCCTCAGCCTCCCGAGTAGCTAGGACTATAGGTACATGCCACCATGCCTGGCTTTTTCAATTTTTTTTATTTTTTGTAAAGATGAGGTCTCGTTATTTTGCCCAGGCTGGTCTTGAACTCCTGGCCTCAATCAATTCTTCCCCCTTGGCCTCCCAAAGTGCTAGGATTACAGGCATGAGCTATTGAACCTGGCCCATTTGTTTTATAAACTTCTAAACTCATCATAATATCCCAAGAGTCTAGTGTATAGCAGGCATTCAATAAATATTTGTTGAATAAATAAATCAAGATTAATACAAAATAACCAAAAGTAAGTATCTTAAAATGTCAGTGGTGATATCTGTTCATAAAATGGTATCACAAAATTAGTATGAGTGCCTCCTGGGGCCAGGGACCGCAGTCACTCAGTCCCCAATTCAGCCCCCAGTTGC